CCTCTGCGATTCCCACGACCTCCAAGGTCCCCAAGACCCCCAAGGTCTCTCAGACCTCCAAGGTCCCCAAGACCTCCAAGATCCGCAGGTCCTCCAAGAACCCAGGACCTCTGAGATTCCCAAGACCTCCAAGGTCCCCAGGTCCTCCAAAGTCTCCCAGACCTCCAAGGTCCCCAGGTCCTCCAAGACCCCAAAGACCTCCAAGGTCCCCAGGTCCTCCAAGGTCCCCAAGACCTCCAAGGTCTCCAGGACCTCCAAGGTCCCCCAGACCTCCAAGACCCCCAGGACCTCCAAGGTCCCCAGGTCCTCCAAAGTCCCCAGGTCCTCCAAGGTCTCCCAGACCGCCAAGGTCCCCAAGACCTCCAAGGTCTCCCAGACCTCCAAGGTCCCCAAGACCTCCAAGGTCCCCAGGTCCTCCAAGGTCTCGCAGACCGCCAAGGTCCCCAAGACCTCCAAGGTCCCCAGGTCCTCCAAGGTCCCCAAGACCTCCAAGGTCTCCCAGACCTCCAAGGTCCCCAGGTCCTCCAAGACCCCCAGGACCTCTGCGATTCCCACGACCTCCAAGGTCCCCAGGTCCTCCAAGACCCCCAGGACCTCCAAGACCCCCAAGACCTCCAAGGTCCCCAGGTCCTCCAAGACCCCCAGGACCTCCAAGGTCCCCAAGACCTCCAAGGTCTCCATGACCTCCAAGGTCCCCAAGACCTCCAAGGTCCCCAGGTCCTCCAAGACCCCCAGGACCTCTTCGATTCCCACGACCTCCAAGGTCCCCAAGACCTCCAAGGTCTCCCAGACCTCCAAGGTCCCCAGGTCCTCCAAGGTCTCCACGACCTCCAAGGTCCCCAGGTTCTCCAAGACCCCCAGGACCTCTGCGATTCCCACGACCTCCAAGGTCCCCAAGACCTCCAAGGTCCCCAGGTCCTCCAAGGTCCCCAAGACCTCCAAGGTCTCCCCGACCTCCAAGGTCCCCAGATCCTCCAAGGTCCCCACGACCTGCAAGGTCCCCAAGACCACCAAGGTCTCGCAGACCTCAAAGGTCCCCACGACCTCCAAGTTCCCAAGATCCTCCAAGACCCCCAGGACCTCCAAGGTCCCCAGGTCCTC